AATAAATAAATAAAACCCAGAAAATAACAAATGCTGACAAGGTTGTAGGGGATTAGAACTCTTACACATTGCTAGTGAGACTGTAAAATTCTACAGCTGCTATAGAAAACAGTATGGTGCTTTGTCCAAAAGCTAGACATAGAAATACCTTATCATTCAGCAATCCCACTGCAAGGTATATATCCTAGAGATTTTAGAGCAGTGACATGAATACACATATGCATACCTGTGTTCATTCCTGCATTATTCACAATAGCAAAAAAGGTGGAAACAACCTAAGTGCCCATCAGCAGGTGAATGGATAAGCAAACTGTGGTGCATACATACAATGGAATACTAGGCAACTACAAAGAATAATGAGGATTCCATGAAACATTTTTAACATGGATGAATTTGGAAGACATTATTCTGGTTGAAATAAGTCAATAACAAAAAGACAAGTAAAGACAGATATTGTGTGATCCCACTATTATAAAAAATCAACAATAGGTATACACACAGAAAACAAAATTCTTTGATGGTCACCAGAGATAGGAATGAGAGGGAGAGAAAATCACTTTCTAGTTTGTAAACACTTGTTGGTTTTGGAGATGGAAATGATAAGGTCAAATATAAGTGAACTCAGTGCAACTTGACCAATGTAAATAAAGATACTGAGCAGGGCATGAGAGAAAGGGACAATTTTGGTAAATGCTGTAGCGTATACATTTGCAACAACAAAATATGTATGTGGTTACATGAGTGAATATGGATACATACATATGTGTAGAAAGACATACACAATAAATGCACATCATGTATCGGTGTATTTGTCGACATACACATACACATGTTTGCAAGAGCTGAATATAAAAGGCACAGTTATGGAACCCTCCTAGACACAGCCAAACAATTTATGGGATTACTTTACTAGGTTAGAAGCTTAGAACCTTAGACTTAGGGACAATTTAGTTGACATATCAGTTCACAAAGATAATGTTCTATATCCTAGATTGGTGAGTAGCATCTGGGATCTTAAAAGTTTTCAAGTGGTCATTTCAGATACAATTTCTGGTCTCTACTCATATGGAACAAAAGAGAATGAAAGTAATCAAAGGCTCAGAGAAGAAGCTAGTCCATGAGACTTTCAGAAAATACCTTTTGTTTAATTTTGGAATTTTCATGACTGATTTCCAAATAAATCTAAAGCATGTGTTATTATGTTTTATCTTTTCCATCTCTGTGATCACTAATAACAACATAAAAACAACAGATATTATGGAGCCCATAGTCTGTCTCAGCAATGTGCTTAGTGTTGTAGTGTGGATTATCTTTCTTAATCTTCCCAACAAGTCTAGGAGGTTAGGGTAGTGTTATTATTCCTGTTTCACTGATGAAAAAATGGATATGTACGGTGGCCATGTTTAATGGAACTAAAATTCCAAGTGAAATTACCTGACTCCAGATCAGTCTTGCATCCTTAAACCTTTTTATCTCTGGTGTAGAGATAAAAAGGAGCTCTGGTAGCATAGTGCCTAAGGCACTTGATTGCTAATCAGAAGGTTGGCAGTTCAAATCCACCAGCCACTCCTCAGAAGGAAGGTTGGGCAATCTACTTCCGTAGTGATACCACCTCGGAAACCCAAGGAGGGGTTGCTATGAGTCAGGTCCAACTTGATGGCATATAACAACAACAACAACACAGAGATAAAGACACACAAAAGAAAGTACAAGAAAACTACCTATTCTTACAGATGCAATTCATCACTTAATCATATGGCCAAAAACAGTTTAGTGTGAAAAACAACTCAATAACATAAAAATTACTCTGATGATACTCTGCTGAAATATTTTGAAATATCCCTTTATTCAGTATTAAGATCTAATCCATTGTGTAAACCATAATTAAACTGTATAAAGCATTTGTGGGTCAGTTTTTCTGCCCTTGCTATGTATGTGAACTAGTAATGCACTGAAAGAGTATTCCACAAATCAGAGTCAACTGTTTATGAACTCCTGTAAAAATGATTCCAGAAATTTTCTTGGCTGGAATTCTAAAGAAATGCATTTGAAGTCCACTACCCTAACAAAAGTGTAACTTCTATCTCAGATTTGTCATCCAAAACCAAACTGACTGCCACCAAATTGATTGTAACTCATAGCAACCCCTGTTTGGTTTCCAAGGCTGCTAATCTTTACAGAAGCAGATTGCCTCTTCTTTTTCCCACAGGGAAGCTGGTGGGTTTGAACCATCAACTTTCTGGTCAGCAGCCAAATGCCTTAAACACTACACCATTATAGATTAGCTGTATTTGATAATAGCTAGTTTGCTGACTTTTAATAATAAAAGTTTTAATTGTTAAATTTATAAAAGGATGTATCATCAAATTTCTTTAAAAAGCCAACTTCTCCAGTACCTTTAAAATGTAATTTGAATTTGTAAGCCTATGTATCATAGTTTTACCTTCTGTGAGAGGGAGTAGGATGTGGTGAGCTTTTACTTTCTATTTCATACATTTCTATATAAATTTTATTTTATCATAAACATAGAATGCTTGTAAAATAAAAGGCTACATTAGAAGAAATGATAGTGCAAAATATGATTTTATTTGAAATTTGGATTTTTTTTTTTTTACAAGGTACAATAATATGCAACTTATAGAGCAAATAACAAAACTATGAATAGTTTTTTAAAAGATTATTTTATGGTGCTGATAGTAATAAAGACTTCAATAGCTTGGACAGCTGTTATGTCTTGGTGGTGCAGTGGTTTAAATGCTCAGCTGCTAACTAAAGCATAAGTAGTCCAAACCTATCAGGTGCTCCACAAGAGAAAGAAGCAGCAATCTGCCTCTGTAAAGATTTACAGCCTTGGAAACCTTCTGGGGCAGTTCTACTCTATAAGGCAGCTGTGAGTCAGAATCAACTTGAAGGCAATGGGTTTTATAGTCATAGCCACACAATAAACTCATGAATCATTCTAAAATATTAATTTTCCTCAATGCTTAGAAATTTAAAGTATCAATACAAGTAACTTGTTGTTGTTGTTATGTGCCGTCTAGTCGGACCTGATTCATAGCGACCCCTCCTTGGGTTTCCAAGGCAGTATCACTACAGAAGTAGATTGCCCCATCTTCCTTCCGAGGATACAAGTAACTATATATAGTAAATTAAATGCAAAATTCCCAGGAATTTTTTAAGATAAAACTTCACAGAAATTCCAAATTCACCATGAGCTGCTTTAGGTTCTATTGCCAATTCATGGTATGAATATATTCTTCTCTTACATATACTTTCTAGTATATCAGAAGAAACACATTTAAGCCACTTAATGTAGTATTTTTGGTGAAAGCATAATACGGAGCTTTCTATATTGTTTTTTAATCTTGAGCTTTCCATATTGTTTTTTAATCTGATAGAAATTTACCATCTTTAAGAACAAAGTGAAAAGAGTGAAGCCATACTGTTGTATTCATGAAAGCTTTTCTCACTACTATTTATAGTCTTCCATTATCACATGAAATACGAATCCCTATATTTGTGAAGTAGTAGGAAATACTGTTTTCCCCAAATAATGGGTATTTAAAAATTAAAATGAATTCCTGAGAGATTTTCAGACTTCCTTAGTTAAAAACAAACAAACAAACAAAACTCCAGATGTTAAGCATGAAATAGGAAAATAGGTCTGTATTTGCTTTGTATTTCTTCCCATTAGTTGTATTATTAAATTAATACAAGTTCCTTAACGTCTAGGATCAAAAGTTCAATATTGTGGGGTAATTTTGACTATACAAAACCAGTTTAACACTACCTTTACAAGATGTGAGTAGGTCACTTAAGGTATTATCTTCATCAATCTATAAAATTACAGTCATTTACTAGCAGCATAAACAATTATTAGTTTCTGTATTTATGAGAAAGTTATACATACTGTTTCTGCTCATATAGCTGTTAATTCTGCTTCCCAAGAAATGAATTGTGCCCTGACATATTATACTGTTGGTCTGACCACCACCCATTCAAACAGGATACCTTAGGATATTTCAGGTCCTGAAGGAATTTTATTGGCCAGATACTGGACGTTTTCTTGAACTCAGTTTCTGTTTTATCTACCCAGTAATTGTTGGACACTTAGAACAAAGTCTTCTTGTCTACTATCCTATCTCCTAATAGTACCATAATGCCTACTCATTGCTTAATATGAACTGCATATGAGACATACACTAGGAATCATAAAAGTTATCTTTGCTGAGAATGTTATCTAGATGCATTGAATGTAGAATGCTATGGAGAAAGATAAATATTATAATATAGAATATATTAATAAACTTCTCTCTAAATTACTGAGTATCATTTGGTGAGAATTCTGATAAACTCTGAATGCTGGAATACATTCTAGCTAGAACAAAAATTATATCCCTAATTTTTTACCTTGTTTGATATAATCCTCCTTCTTGTCTTCCATTGATTTAATATGTATTACAAACTTCAGTTATGGATGTGCTGAGAAGCAGTTTTGATTATTGCTACCATTTATAGAATATTATATACATTGAGTACCATATATGCAATTTCTTTATTAAGTCACTCAATAATAAAAAGATGTATTGTTATCTTCATTTTAAAGGTAGAGAAAATAAAATTTGAGAGCTTAAGCAATTTACTGAATATTGTACATACAGTTTGTGTCTATGCCAAAACCTATATCCATCCCTTTGTGCTAAACAAACTCTTGTCCAGCTCATATTTTATTAGTGAATGGACTTCGGAGGCAACCAGATACTTCTGTGTGTCAGCATGTACTAAAGTTGCAATTATTCTAGTGTCAGGCAGTGTGCTGTTTCAGAAGAATGTATATTTAAGAATTTGCTTAATATAGGCTTCTAGCAGATGTTTCAACATTTTCTAGAGATTAAAGATTAAAAGTTTTGCTGACTGTTCCAAATTGTATTTGACAACCATCACATGAAGAAGAACGGTTTCATTTTCTGTGGAATTCCTTATTTTTCATTGCCTTTCAGATATGCTTCTTCTGTAAAAGATGGCTCCCAGTATTTTGTGCTCCTGATTGTGACAGATGGTGTCATCTCAGACATGGCTCAAACCAAGGAGTCCATAGTTAACGTGAGTGGGGGTCAGCATGTCTTGGGCTGGCTAAGTGATCGCATGGCACTACTTAGGTTGATACCAGCGTCTACTTTAACTGACTTAACAGTGAAACAAAATGCTCACATTTTTGCAACAGATAACATGCTTAACCTTATCTAGACAACTCCCACACATCTGTACTATGGATTCATAAGGACAAAGCTAAGGAGTGTAGATAGTTGTACCAAAATTCTTTCCTTAAAAAAATTTTTGAAAATATTATCATTACCTTCATGTACATGTAGGTCCCTGCATGGCACAAGCAGTTTGTGCTGCACTACTAACCTTGAGTTTGGCACTTTGAACCTACGAAGCAGCACCATGGAAGAATGGCCTGACAATCTGCGTCTATAAAAGATTACAGCCAAGGAAGCCTGTAGAGCAGTTCTGCTCTGTAACACATTGTGTCATCATGAGTCAGAATTGACTCTATGGGGTTTTGTATTTTTTTTTTTTTTTGATGTGCATATGTGAGCATGGTTAATTTCATGGTTAGCTTGCTCTACTTATATACAATCTTACTATTTGTACAGAGTATTTTTTAACATATACATGTGACTAATTATTATTTTTATGGAACTTCATAGAGACTGGATTTGATTAAAAAAACATCCTGTCATTATAATGCCTAATTATGTGTTTATTTTTTGTGATTATTTAATTGATAATCTTTACTGGACATTAATCCTCAAGAGGGAAATTATTATATCTGTTTTTGCTCACCTCATTGGTCCGGGTTTAGGAATATTTGACACAAAAGAGACATTTAATAAATATAGGTTGCATGAATGAATTGTTTACCAAGCCACGTAATTATTAATAGCATAGAGATGTTAGAACAATCTGTTTAGTGTGAGAAAAGAATAATTACATGTGGGGGAAAAATCAAATGCACTTTAGACATGTTCTTAGAAAAAAAAAACAAATATGAAAAAGGGGATGGAATAGCTTAAAAGTTTATTTGTTTCTAAACTAGATACACTTGGGTTGAATTTATCTTGATTTTCTTTCTGTTCTGGTTATTGATATTATTTTACATTTTAAAATGTGGATTTAATAACTTAGGCTTAAACTAGCAGGACTGAGGAAAAATTATTTGTAATTCGTTGACCTTTGTAGATGCTTTGTGGTTGCTGCCATGTTCTATCTATTGCTGCGTCTCACATTCTTTCCATTAACTTATTTAATGTGATGATATAATTGAAAATGACATGTATGGTGGAAAAATAGGTTATTAAATATTCAGCATCCCTCACAATCTCATGGATATTTAATACATAAATTAATAATACTGAGAATAACTTTCCATAATGATCATATGTGATTGCTCATTTACTATGAAAATTGCTTTCCTTAACCTTGAATATAAATGAAGTAGAGTAGAACACCACTCATAAATCTGGAACCTTTTCTTTTCTCCCCTTTTTCAACTGAAAGGATTTTTGTGAGGAGAAAGGATGTGAAAAAGAGACAGAAGATACCCAAAGTCAGCTTAGGAAGCTTTTGGGAGCTCTGGTAGCATAGTGCCTAAGGCACTTGACTGCTAACCAGAAGGCTGGTGGTTCAAACTCACCAGCCACTCCTCAGAAACCCAAGGAGGGGTTGCTATGAGTTGGGTCCAACTCGACAGCACATAATAATAACAACAGCAGCAAGTAAAAGCAGATTCTCCTTACTTTTTATTTTATCTTATCCAAGGGTGGTTATCCTTGAGGAATACCTGCTGGATTAGCACATGTAGAGTGTTTAGAAAGGACAAGAGTTGAATCAAGTCTATTATCCTGCAGTTAAGAATTTTAAATATTCAAAACTCAAATATTTAAATATTCAAAATTCAAAACTATTTGAGTAAACATCTGTAGAAATTTTTAAACAAAACTTTGGGTATTATTTTCTGCCTGTTTGGTTCATTGCTTCCATAGCTTCTTTTAATTTAAAATCTTTCATCATCAAAAATGTCATGACCTAATTGTGTGTTCTCTTTGAAGGCCTCAAAACTTCCAATGTCAATAATTATAGTAGGTGTTGGACCAGCAGAATTTGATGGTGAGTAGTAAAATTTCAATAGCATTCCATGGGACTTTGTTTAATCTGCTGTATCATGCTCTTAGGTGTCTATCATTCTTTTCTGCATAAAATGATATGCATGTGCTTTGGGTCTATTTACAATGTTTTATGTATAGACATAAATGTAGCTGACTCATGATGATGTCTCTCAAAGGCAGAAAATTAAAAGATTTTATTTTCTGAGGAGGACATTCTCTTTCCTGTTTAAAGATTAATTCAACATGTAGCTTTCCATTTCATCAGAGATGCTTTCTACTTCAAAATAGTATTTCTTAAGACTGACAGAGTGGTAAAATGAGTTTTTGTTTCCAATGCAAAACATATTCTGGATTCACTAAAACTTTTAAGGATGAGTGATAGATTAATAAACCATTAGGTTGTGAATAGAAATGTTAATATAATATTGGTATTGCTAATTTAGTGGATTTTCAGAACCTGGCTAGTTGATAGACATTAGTTTTATAAATATACATGTTTAATTATATAAATTCTGTCATGAAAGACCAAAATAAAATGAAAACCTGAACTGATCAGGTGAGATTTAATGGGATTTTATATAATTATGTTAAATTAGCTTACCTGGCTAGTTTTCAGTTTGGGCTCAGGTCTTGTTCACGTATCAGTTAAGTGACAGGCATTTGTGTAACTAATGATCAGGATAAACTAGTCTGTTCCTAGTCATCTGGTGAATTCTTTCAAGAGAACTCTGCTGTAGACAGCAATTTCATGACTACACAGTATTCACCTGGTTCAAGTGTTTTTATATTAACACTAAATTACACTTATATTTAATGACAGTTTATTTAACATGGGATATTGAGAATGAGAATAATTTTTAAAATTTGGAAAAAAACCATTGGTAGGTCACTAGTCAACTTAGGCATGTTGTTGTTGTTGTTATGTGCCATTGAGTCATCTCAGACTCATGGCAACCCCTCCTTGGGTTTCCTAGGCAGTATCACTATGGAAGTAGATTGCCCAATCTTCCTTCCGAGGAGTGGCTGGTGGGTTTGAACCATCAACTTCTGGTTAGCAGTCAAGTGCCTTAGGCACTGCACCACCTATATCCCTGGTGTGATTCTCATTTAACCTCCAATCCCTCCTCTGTAAGGGATTTCTCAGTAATGCACATCTTTCAGTCTCAGGTAAAGTACCACAGACAGTTTTATTGCTGAATTTCTAAGCATATTTTTTCCTTAGATTTCATGCTTGGCTGGTCATTATCTTCATCATCATCTTCCAGTTTCTAAAGCAGAAGTCACTGAGCCCTGACTGCTGCTGCTTCTGCTAATATTTTATCTGAATATTTGCATCTGTTTGCATTATACTTCAGGTTTGAATTTGAAACATCTCTCTGGAGTCAGGAAAGCTATGATGTGTCTTTCTAGTTAGTGCTTTTTGCACTTGATAATCTGCATTAATCAGTGATGGATTCATGCTTTCTTCTTTGGCTATTTGCTTTTACCTCTCAATAATATATCTCTTCATGGATACACCTCAGGTCTCCCAGTTTCCTATGGAAGTCCAGTACTAGTTGTATGACCTAAACCTTAGATAATGTGTGTGGACCTCTAGTATGACCCTATTCCTGAAGAGCTCTCACACATATGTGTATGAATACAGAGACACTGACCTTCCCTGATACATATTTCTGCTCCTATATTTCTGTGCAAAGCATTTAGGCACAACTATGTGGGTACTGCCCTCATCCAACTGACACAGCTCTATTTTCTTTATTTCTTTTGTTCCCAACAAATTTCTTTGTTATGGTTTTGAGGTATGATAATAACTCATCACACTTTTCTGAGTTCTGAACTATCGGTGGGGGGGACATATATATATCACTCAGACAGGGATCAGCATATCAGATTTATTACTAGAAATGCATATTTGAAGAATTTGGGTTAACCTGTGGACAGTTTGAATTCTTATTACCTTTTCCCCAGGATTAAATGAATCTCACCGTATTTTGAGATTTTCTCCCAATGGGGAGAGCTTTGCCCGTTACATGTGCCACAAGGAGAAATTGCTTGCTTCCTGAGAGGTAGCTTCTCCAAAGGAGGAAGCACTAAGCTCAGTTCCTTTTAATCTCAGTAATTCTAGGAATTTTTCCTCTCTCCATGGAGAGAAGTGAGTAAAGCTTATAGACAAAGAAGGAAGTTCCCTTTATAGTACTATTCTCTTGGGAAAATGAGTGAAAATTTCCTTTGGAAATCATGTGTATGGGGATTATAGTTCCTGCAACACCTGGTTTCTGCTTTCACCAGCATGAATGTTTTAATAAAATGAAAAAAATTCAGGCACAGAGCTATTAAAGTAGAATATCTGCTAGGAAACAGTAGACACCACCCAAGTATTTTCTTTCTTCTCAAAACACATCCTTTCTCGCACTGGCTAAGAAGAAAAGGATAGAATGTTTGTATTTAATCTAGAAATGCTCTGATTTACATTCAAATTGCTACAGTCTCAACAAGAAATTCTTTCAGAATTTTCAAATGTAGTATAAATTAAGTATGTATATATGTCATGTAAATAAAGTGACATAGGTGAAGTCTGAAATGCAACTTGCAAATAATAACTGCTAATCATAAATCTAGTGGTGTAGTCCCTAAGGCATTTGACTGCTAACCAGAAGGCTAGCTGCTCAAACCCACCAACCACTCCTTGGAAGGAAGACTGGGCAGTCTACTTCTGTAGAGATACTGCCTCAGAAACCCAAGGAGGGTTTGCTATGAGTTGGAATTGTCTCCATGGCAGTGAGTTTGTTTTTTTTGGTAATCACATAAATCAGACATCTACACATTTTTTTTTTAACCAGAAGCACATTATTTGCATGGACCAGCATTGCAATAATTGACATGCATGTTTGAAGGTTGTTGTTGTTGTTATGTGCTGTCGAGTCGGACCCAACTCATAGAGACCCCTCCTTGGGTTTCCGAGGCAGTATCACTACGGAAGTAGATTGCCCCATCTTCCTTCCGAGGAGTGGCTGGTGGGTTTGAACCACCAGTCTTCTGGTTAGCAGTCAAGTGCCTTAGGGACTATGCTACCAGACCTCCCTGTTTGAAGGTAGAAAAAATAAAAATTAACTCTTAGATCGATGAGTTCAAATCACTTATTTCTGCATTTTATAAGAACATATAAAAATTTCAGTATAATTTCTTCTAATAATTATTTTGCTTCTATATATAGAGAGAGCAGCTTCATTAAGAAGAGAGATTTCTTGAAGCAGGATTTCCTCATCTACAAAAAGCAGTCAAAGACACAAATTATACCAGCATCTGGGTACCTGCATTACTCTGAGTTAGGAAAAGGGAAGAGATTAATGGGATTCTGACCTCATCGTGTCTATCTTGGTTATCAAGATATGCAGAGCTATCTCTCATACAACTTCTTCCTGATGGGGAGGTACTGATGGGAAGCTGGGGCTGACAGCTCAGCCTCCTTTAGCAGGACCAGATTATCTGAAAACTTGAAGGGCAAACATCACTCCTCTCCTCCTTGTTTTAGAAAGTAAAGCTTCCAATTCTTGTTGCCTGCAACTTTTAAACCACAGGACGTGCTAAAAAGTGTGACATATGTTGTAGGATCTCATTCTAATATATTATTGCCTGAATGTCTGTCATTGTCTCATTGATTAGAATGAAACACTCACAAAGACCAATGTGGATTGTAGAAAATGTTAAGGTATAAGACTCAGATTATCATCTAATTCTTATTTCCCTTTTTAGAGTGAAAATAGTGTCATTCTTATGAGTTATTAGCATGTTAGATAATGAAGAAGTTTCTGTAATCACTGCCATGTCACCATCAATAAACATTTATCTTAAAGTAATATAAAAATTGTGAAAACAGACCCAAGACTAAAAAAAAGAAATAACTATAGAATGTATTTGAGCATGATGAATTTCCTATTTATATCCCAAAGAAATAGAGAATAGATCTTTTGTCTGGAATAATTTAATTGCTTTATAATTGCTAATGTACACATTTTACTAAATTATGATCTCTATTGTAAAGCTAAGCAAACCTTTAAGTCATGGTTCTCTGGTAGTTATCTCTGTCTCTTACAATGCCATCACCCACACACTTTGAAAATGATGTTTTAACCCAAATAAATTTTCCAAACACTGAAGAAAATAATAAAGTGGCAAAGATTGTATTCTGACTGAAAGAGGTATTTTTATTGGCAGAACAGCTAGTATTATAATCACAAGTGGCTTTCTGGAGTCTGGCGAATGTCATGTGTATACAAAATGAATTATCAGTAATAGAATTATACTTTAAGCATAAATTAGCATTGCTTATGTAATTAATTATTTAGCGAATTCTCACTGAAAACTTAATAAACTCTGCAAAATGTTCTTAATTGTAGCATAGCATTACTGTATTACCAGCTGCCCCATTAAATCACAGCGTTCTCAAATACCAGCTGATCTGTGTACTGTTAAAATTATTCTTTTACCCACAGACAAAAAAATACTTTAGAAAAATAATACTTTATCCAGTCGATGTAAAGACAGAGAAAATGCCTTTGTCATTTAATCTATTTATAGAGAACACAGCTTTGTTATAAATTCTCAGTAAATATTTTTTCAACAAGAATAAAGTTCAGATTGTTACAAGAAGTTCTGTGGAGATTAATGCCAACTCTCTTAAAGTAGAAAGAAAAAATTAAAATTTAATGGATTAGCATCACTTGCCCAGCCTATCATGTAAGCACATACCAGAGTTGAGGACCTCTAGGACAGGGAGATGTTCTCAAAGATGGTTGCACGTAGCATTGGCTCTTCTCATCCTTCAAATGTCACATGATGTTAGCTTGCTTTATTCATCTGTAAAAATGTGCAGTCTGTCAGGTTTTGTGGGAGAAACGAAGAAAAAGGTACAAGGATCAGCACACTTTCTCCCTTTGCATAGGACATATCGCTGCTTCACAGACCCTAATCTCCTTATTGCCCACATTGCATTAGTATATGACTAAAATATACTGAATAAATGATCATATTTTATTTTTAAGCTATGGTCGAATTGGATGGAGATGATGTCAGAGTTTCTTCCAGAGGAAAGTATGCTGAAAGGGACATTGTACAGGTAAGACATTAAACAAAAATGATTTAGTTCTTTGATTGTGAAGAGCCTGTGTCAACTCCAATTTGTAAGTAACAAACTTAAATTGAAATCAATTCTGTTTGATTTAACAAGTTGATACATATTAAGTAACAAGGCCTAGAATATAATAAGCACTCAGGTAATTAATTTCCCCTCTATTTCTGGGTGCTCTGGTGGCATAGTGCCTAAGGCATTTGACTACTAACCAGAAGGCCGGTGGTTCAAACCCACCAACCACCACTCCTTGGAAGACTGGGCAATCTACTTCCATTGAGATACCACCTCAGATACCCAAGAAGGGGTCGCTATGAGTTGTAATTGACTCGAAGGCAGTGAGTTTGGTTTGGTATATACAAAATGGCAATATTTTTGTCTTTCCTATTACTAGAAAATACAGTTGGGTGCTTTATTAAAAATGGAAGTTAGAAAAGTAAGACACTTGTTAATGATGCTTATTTAGTCATCATTTAGTTTTCAAGAAGACTAAATACATTTAGGGAGCTCTGGTAGCATAGTGGCTAAGGCACTTGACTGCTCACCAGATGGCTGGTGGTTCAAACCCATCAGCCACTCCTCGGAAGGAAGGTTGGGCAATCCTACTTCTGTAGTGATGCCGCCTCGGAAACCCAAGGAGGAGTCACTATGAGTCAGGGCTGACTTGACGGCACATAACAACAACAACAACAACAAATACATTTAAGACAGCTGGAATGTATTCAGAGTGAGTAAACATCCTAGAAACACAGCAAAATTTTATGAATATTTTCATGATTCCCCCCCCCATAGATTATGGTTAGAATTGAAATATTGGAATATATATTCAATTCAACTTAATATTACTTGTAATTGAATACAGGTGCTAACTATCTGATTCACAGTTCTTTTTGAATCAAAATTAATACTTACCTAAAGCCTACTCTGGGGATGAATAGAAAGAAAAGATGAGTACCCAATAAATACAGTTAAAATTTATAATTGAAAACAAGGAGTTAATTCAGTTAAATATTTGTATACTTTAGAGTCTCCACATCTTTTAAGATGTCAGAAAAAACAGTGAAATTTGCCTTTTGAGTAGGGAAAGGAAAACAGTATTGGTAGCATTTAAATATATGATGTGAAAGGTTTTGGAGGAGCAAACAATGGATTTCATCCCTACAATACAATCATTAAGACAATCTAATTTTGAATCATATAGAATTCGGTTCAAATGTCATTGTGGTGAGATTAAAAGATAAAATGGACATAAAATAGAACTCAGCAAAAAAAAAATTAGAATAATTTAAGGGAGAAAATAATGTAATCTATAAATATGATATAAAGTTTAATATATTGATGAAAAGCATTTTTCTTCATCAGTAGCAAAATTAAATTTTAAAATAGAAACAGCTGTATAATAGTTTGACAAAAAGATAATTGAACATGATTTAAGTTTTTCAATGTAAAGTACTTGGTAAAGTGCATACACATATAAATGATTGGGCTAAAGCAGTAGCAAAAGGGAACATTGTGATGTGGTCTTCTATTTAAGAATCCCAGGGTATTTTGTTTTCATAATTAGATGCCTTATCATTCACCCTAATCTCATCAGTATAATTATAGGTCCAAGTAATTACACTTTATCTAAAAGCTCTCCAGAATGTCTGGCTCACAGTTTCCAAAAAATAAATAAATAAGTAAAATAAAATTACTGAAGGGAAGTATGAAATCTTTAGAATGTATCTTGTTGCTGTTGAAATGCATTTTTACAAAGAAAGCAGAAGCCACCTGTATCTTAAAATCTTATGTTAATTAAGAGAAACTTAGTATAATTTTCTCCCTTGGGAAGTAGTTATGATTATTCAGATCATGAAGGCTTCCTTCAAAAGGACCAACATGTTATGTTAGTGGCAACTCACAGCCATATCTGCTAGCATTGATACAATAAAAAATGTCATTGATCATGGAAGTATTTAGGGTCTCTCAGTAGATATGCTGTATTGGATGAAATATTGAATTAGGAGCCAGAAGATCTATGGAATTACAATGTTTTCACTGTAATCTTGAACAAGTCAATAAATTTCTCTGAGCCTTTGTTTCCTTATCTGTAGACTCCAAATTCTTTTCACCTTTACTCTTCCCATGATGTTGTTTGTCTCAGAGGAAGTAACAGACATGAAAAACTGTTACCTTTCGACATAAGGTATATATTACTATAGTCATAAAATTTTCCACTCTTTGAAAGTCAGAATCCTTAAGAACATGCTATAGCTATAAAGTGACACTGGGATTCCCCTAAAATTTTGGAGGCACCTGGGGAAATAAGGAATTACTTAAGCAATTCTGCCACATAAAGTTGAACTAAAAAAGTGGTAGTATCTTACAGATCCTAAAAAGAAAATTGAAATGTCCCCAGAGAATTCATTGCTCCCTGAATGACAATGACATCTTGACTTGCATGCCAATATTTAGTTAAGGAGATTTAATGACCTTTTTTTATAATGTCATAGAGAAGTTTCTAAATAGTGATTGGTCGTTTAAAAATAGTAAACAAGTCATTTACATATCATATTATGTGGAAGAAGAATTAGCATCCTCTATCTCTTCAAAGCTGTGAAAAAACATGCCACTATCCAAGTTCTCAAGGTTCTACTAGCAGGGGTGGATTACCCAATAAGCAATGTAAGCACAGGTGTAGTTGTGCTTACTTACTAATCTGTAGTGAACTGTTTCACATTTTTTCACTACATCATGTGAAACTGTTCATTACAGATTAGTAAGCACAAGTATGCCTGTGCTTATCTTGCTTACTGGGTACTCCATTCCTGTCAGGGATTGCAGATTTGAAAAGAGACTTTGATTCTATATGAAGGTGCTGTGGGTTTGGGAGAAAGATGCCAGCTATACCTAGAAGCAGAATCTTTGATGTGGTGAAAAAATGTGACATTGTTTACTACAGATTACTAAATAAGCACAAATAAGCCCATGCTTATCTTTGTTATTGGGTAATCCAACACTGTCCAACAGCCACATACGCAAACACACACAAAAAAATTAATGAGTTATTTTGAAGGGTTAACTTGTCTAAACCAGCTAATCTATGTTGTAAATACTACTGGCTAAACATCAGTAGGATACTGTGGGAGCTCTGGTAGCATAGTGGCTAAGGCACTTGACTGCTAACCAGAAGGCTGGCGGTTCAAACCCACCAGCCACTCCTCGGAAGGAAGGTTGGGCAATCCTACTTCCGTAGTGATACTGCCTTGGAAACCCAAGGAGGGGTCGCTATGAGTCGGGTCCAACTTGATGGCACATAACAACAACAACAACAAACATCAGCAGAGAATAGGGTCTATTTAAGTTCTCCTACCTTTTCTCTATTTTCCATTTCTTACATTTTTGAACCCAACAGAGTTAATACACTACATATGAAAACCCATATTCCTTAAATGGGCAAATAAAAGCCTAAGACTGCAAATAGTAGGTAGCTGAAGTTCAAGAGAAAGTTAGAGGTGGTAGATGAGGTTTTCACTGTTATGGCAAATCCTAAATGTCTTCCAGGAGCTCTGGTGGCATAGTGCCTAAGGTATTTGACTGTTAACCCAAAATTGGCAGTTCAAACCCACCAGCCATTCCTTGAAAGGAAGGTGGGGCAATCTACTTCCATAATGATACCGCCTCACAAACCCAGGGAGGGGTTGCTATGAGCCTGACCCGACTCAACAGCAGTGAGTTAAATGACTTCCAGCTTCTTCATGTAATAATATTTAACTGTTTACCAAGTGCTTCCTAGGAAGCCCCAGTAGTGCAATGGCTGACTACTTGTCTGCCAACCTAAAGGCCCATGGTTTGAATCTACCAGCTGTTTTGTAGGAGAAAGATGTGGCAGTCTGCTTCCCTACAGATTTACAGCCTTAGAAACACTAAGGGCAATTCTACTCTGTCCTATACACTCCTCGCAGGTTTTTTTTTTTTTTTGCCAAGTGCTTCATACGTGCTGGGCATACTAGGAACTGTAGCATTACTCTACTTAATCCTTAATTCAATTTATGTTGAAAGTACTTTGATTACCTGCATTTTACAAAAGAGGAAATGAGGTTTAATATTTCTTGTCCTTAATCATACAGTTAATGAAGGACAGAGACAGAATTCAATGCTAGAATGTCTGGCTCTAAAACTCTGTAACATGTTTTGTTAGTGTAGTGATTAACACATCAGAGTCAGACCAATTTGGGTGAAAGTAATGACTTTGACAGTTATTACTACACATTTTGGGTAGGTTAACTAAACTCTTGAGGTTTCATTTTCCTCTTTATGTAAATTCGAAATATGGATAAGGTACTTGTAAAAATTAAGTGACATATAAAATCCCTTCGCAGAAGGTCTTCACTTAGTAGCTGCTCAATGAATGTATTAATATCAGTATGAGTTATTATTATTACTTAACATGTTGACAGAGCCCAATGGGAAGATATTTTTCATGTTGCTGTTCCTTAGTAGCTATACCTTGTCATATGACACTGTAGTTGGTATTATGTGTGTTATATCCTTTGCCTGGAGATCCAATCTCATATCACTATAGTATAAATAGTAAGTAGGATGAGATCTTCTAGTTGTTACTATAAAAGTTGAATGACTTATTTTCTTAAATGAATATAAGTAAAAGTCTTTCTGTTTGTTTGTTTGTTTGTGCTCTGAATTGGCCATTGTATATAATGCAGTGTCATTCTTCCTGGCCACATGCAGCTGCTGTCCACCCAATCATTTCCTTAAAAATTATATTTAAATCATATTTTCCATTAAAAGGAGAATAATAACCTTGAAGGCTGAGTTGAAAAAATCACTAATGGAGCTCTGCACAGTAGGAACAATCAAGCAAAATTGAGCAGAACAGCAACTAAAAGCCCATTTGCCCAGACTGATTCAAACTTGTTTTCACAAATAGGCAGAGCAGCCATTAGAGCAGCCATGTGGAACATTTTCCTTGCACTGGGTGGATGCAGGAAAAAAAAAAAAAAGTGGAGTATCAAGTTGATTTCTACAGAGTGGAATGTATTTGTTGGTATTCTTCATTTGAATGTGATAAAGTAAGAGAAAGTGAAAAGTGGTTTATTACTCTAAAGTGAACATTTTAAGGGCCCATGTTTATTCTAGTGCTAACAGCCAATGATCAAAATGCATTCATAAATGTGTGTCAGTTACTTTGAACAAGAGGGCCCAGGTATAGTGATCAGAAGTAAGTGACTGAAGGAAGCTGTACAGAATGGTCCGAGAAGCTGAGTGGAACACCATGATGGTACAGGGTTTTGAACATTTCTCAAGACGAAAGAGGCACATTTTGTCATGAAAACTGTGAGATTTGACACTAGTAATAGCAGGTAAAGGAAATGAAGAGTCACACACTATTTTCACCTCTCACTTATGACTAGTGACATGACTGAAGAGGTGAATGCCCCTTTGGAAAAAGTTTAGGCAATCTAGATTAGTGGGTAGAAAGTTCCCACCATTTTTCTTTTATTTCTATTCCCAACAGGAGCTCTGGTGGCGTAGTGTCTAAGGTATTTGACTGCTAACCAGAAGGCTGGTGGTTCAAACCCACCAGCCACTCCTCAGAAGGAAAATTGGGTAATCTACTTCCATGGTGATACTGCCTTGGAAACTCAAGGAGGGGTCGATATGAGTCAGCTCCAACTCGATGCAGTGAGTTTGGTTTGGTTTGTCTATTCCCAACACACCTGTGGAATGAAATATATTCCTGTTGATAACAGTCACTTGCTGTATGACAGTGATTCTCAACACTGGGGCAAGGCTCCTAATACACAAGAGCATATCAGAGCCTGTGCCCCCCACCTAACAAAAAGCTAAAAAAACCAAACTCACTGCCATCAAAATGGATCCGACTCATAGCGACCCCTCCTTGGGTTTCCGAGGCAGTATCACTATGGAAGTAGATTGCCCCATCTTCCTTCCAAGGAGTGGCTGGTGGGTTTGAACTGCCAGCAGTCAAATGCCTTAGGCACTATACCACCAGAGCTCCCACCTAACAAGTCTAAGTTAAATGTGATATATTCTTATGCTCCCATCCTAGGTTTTCTTCCTTACCTGTTATTTATAAACATATATTAAAGGTGAGTAGAATTGTATGTATTGTGAGAACAGCGATTGGGAGTCTTGAGTTTTGATATCCTAGAGTATCATGGAATTCTTAAAAGTGAATTTTAATTTATTTCAATGAAAAAAAAACACATCCTCTAGCACTTGTCAGAAAGGTGAAACAGTGAGTGTTTTTGAAATAACAAAAAGGCTGGAAATTACTGCTTTAGATGAACTGGTATTATACTTAAAGTTGAAAAAGCTAAAATTAATCATTTAATGTGACTATTTAATGTTCGATATGAATGTAAATAGAAAATTAAGAAAATAGTGTCATATTTATGTTAAACATATAAATGTGTAAATTCATGAATAATGATTCATGATTGTAATGATAATGTTAGCTATTGTATATGGTACAAATTATGAGTTGAACACTGCTTTAAGCACTTTACATATGTTAACTTATTTAATACAGCAACCCAATAAAGTAAGCATTATTAATTTTATCCTCATTTGACAGAGGAGGAAACTGAGGGCACAGAGTAGACAATAACTTGCCCAAGATCACGTAGCTAATAAGTCACTGAACCAGGCTTTGAACCTGGGATATCGGATGCCAGAGTTTGGGAAAATAGGGAGTAAAAGGATAAATGAGTTTCATGTCTGTGGTACAGAAGAATGGTGAAGAAGAGAGTTTAGGTAAAGGAGAAATAAAAGCAGGTAAGATCTCACTTTCTCTAGAGAAGTATCATTTGTTTACCTTGGGTGTTGTCATTTTCCCTGAAATGTGGATACGAGCTATAGTTTTGAAAAACTGAGCTCTTTAAAAAATAAAATAGTTTAAAAAATAGTTATGAGCTCTGGTAGCATAGTGCCTAAAGCAGTTGACTGCTAACGAGAAGGCTGGTGGTTCAAACCCACCAGCCACTCCTCAGAAGGAAGGTTGGGCAATCTACTTCCAGAGTGATACTGCCTCGGAAACCCAAGGAGGGGTTGCTGAGTCAGGGCCGACTGACAGCACATAACAACAACAACAACAACAACAAATAGTTACATGCACACTAAAGATAACAGTACTCAGTGTTAATTTTTAAAATGCTAAATAGGAGCTCTGGTAGCATAGTGCCTAAGGCACTTGACTGCTAACCAGAAGGCTGGCAGTTCAAACCC